CTGCTACTCAAAAACCAACTGACAACCCTGGGGTTTATGGATGTTGTTATGTATTTAAAAAGCAAAACATCTTGACACTACATGTACAAGTTCAACTGACATGTGTAAAACAGTGCCGAGCTCAGAGAGTTAACATAGGACAAGGCACAACGTGCTGCACAAAATAGGGCTAAATTGAGAGATTGTTGTGGTGTTATGTCCCACAGGGACAAAGAGCTAAATAAATTATTATTATTAGAGGATAAATTAAGTAAGTAAACAGTGTTCTGCCATAAATCTCCGCCTTAAAATTTATAACGACTTTTCTACCTTCTCACTTGTAGCAGTTCAGCTTCCAGATACTGACATTTAAATGCAACACTCCAACTGAACGGAATAAAACTAAGCATAAGACCACAAGTACGCATTGCGGACCTATTTTTTAGATGATGTTAACTTCGAGCAAAATCACACAGTTAACCAACCTGATGTTGTAAGATGCACGGGAAAGTGACTCAACCCAAATCAAGAAGACGTTCTAGTTTACACGTGATTGGCGGAGATGCGTCTGCTTTTATCATTATGTCAGTATCAAAGAATAATTCTAAGTACTTTAATAACTGAGAAAGGTTGTTAATCCGTCCGTGCACAAGCAACTCGCGGAAAAACGTTCTAACGCTCTGCTAGCTCTTACCAGCGCGCAAAGGCAAAGCAGGCAAAAACGTAACGGCGCTGGATCGAGTACTCCTCTTGGCATGCCAATACGAAGAAAGCGATCACGAAATTCAAGAGGGAGCGCTATAATTTTGCAGTGTTAATCTGACAAACTTTAAATTTTGGCAAAGAATATAGTGTATTGTTTCAGTCGTTTCCTTATAATAAACCCTAGGAACCAAATAAGCTCCTCAACGGAAAGGTTCACACCACTATTAAAATTTTGAGTGTGGATCATTTTTAAGTTGGAGTCGAGTTAAAAGCACTTATTTCGCTATTTTCATTTTCCGTGTCAGCGAAGTTTTGCGTTTGCATCATACACACTCGATAATGCTTTTTTTTAGTTTTAACAGGTATTCTACGAGCCACTTGGTAAATTTTAAACGATGGAACTTTGATGGTTTGTTTAATTTTAGCTAAATTGTTTATTATTTTACAGCTAAAGGCATGTATGATATTTAGCATTCGTTTCTTTTACGAAACAAGTATATTTCACAGTTTAATACAAGTGATATAGAGGTTTGTAATTACAGCCAGTTTAAGGAATAGCGAGTGTGGGCTTTACTTGGAGTCAGTCATTTAAATCTTTTTTTTTTGCCAGTTTATTCGCACACAGTTGATATGAACTAAACTTATTATTAGTTTATAGGAGATAAGCTACCTTAGGTGCGCTCTGATTTTGATTTTCTTATGATCATAGTTGTAAGGCCTGCTTACGTAATGAAAAAAACGCTATTTCTTTTGTTTTTGTTAATCACCTGAATACCGTTTAAAAATTCGGTTTAGTCGATTGGAGTTTTCAACGAAAACATTACCTAAAAAAACACAAACTGCACCCAATGCAAACAATTTAAAAGCATTTCCTGACCCTAAAAAGTTGATCATTACACCCCCAAGCACTTCACCGCATCCATAACCAAGACCTCTGTAAAACCCATAAAGAATGCCTTGATGTGTTGTGGCATTGCCACTGGTCGACATCTCATTTACGTATGAAAGCATAGCCACCCATGCTAAGGCGTTTGTTATTCCAGGCATGAATTCCAATGGAAGAACTAACCATGGGTTTGATAAAAACGAATACCAGAGACACCGCATAGTGAATCCTACTGCCGCAAGGTATATGACTCGGGTGTGTCCTATGCGTGAGATGATTCTGTCCGATATAAGATACACAGAGACTTCAGCAATGCAGTTTACAGCTGCAATGATGCTAAAAAGTAACTGTGTTCCGCCCAAATCTTTTAAATGCCAAAATAGAAACGTTTTCATGAAGGCGTTCATAATTCCAAAATAAAGCGCTGTAGATAAGAACACGATGTACTTCACGTTGATACTTTGTTTGAAACTATCAATTATTCCAACATCTTTAGCCACTTTAGCGTTCTCTGATTCGTAGGCAAACTTAAATCTTGTGGATGTAAGAAGTGCCAGAAGCATCAAAGCTCCGAATGTATAAAAACAAGGCGTGTAATTTACTTCGGATGGTTTGGTAAAAGGATTAGGACAGTGGTGACTTAATGTGACCAGCGCACCGACTAGGAATGAGGCTATTCCCCATCCAACGGATCCCCATAGCCGCTGATGCCCGTACAGATGCACATCAGGTCTTAAAGTTTGCACTGTAACTGTGTCTGCGAGCGCCAAAGAGGGAGACGAGATAACGTTGCTGACCAAAATGATGATAAATAATATTATGAATAGTTCTCTTGTACTGGCAATCCGTGGTATATTCTCTTCTTTACTGGCATAGACCAACGGCCAAGGCTTGTCATTCACCATGGAGGAGACAAAAACGAAATCCTTCCAGTAAGTAGAATAATTTCCATCTTGAAGAGAAATTCTGGATGAATTGTCTCCGCCCTCGACGGAACGCGATATGAAATTCAATGTGCATAGTCGCTCAGCTGGTGCTACTAAAGAGAGCGAGAACTGAGACAATGCGGTAACAAGAAGCGACAAAAGAAGAACTGATTTCCCTTTTTTAACTCGATCCACAAAGGCTCCCCAAAATGGAGTACAAACAAACTCGACAAAGGGCTTCAATCCCATCAGTATGCCCACTTGAGAAGGTGTCAGTTTCATTTGTTTGTAGTACAATGCAAGGTAGGGCAACAGAGCACCCAAAGACGAAAAATATAAGAAGTAAAATAGTTTTGCTGGAATAAGTTTTCTTTCGATTTCTGGGCAGCATTTTTGCTCATTAATATCGGAAACTTGATCTCCGTATTTGTCTCTGCGTTGCTCTTGTCTACCAAGTTTGGCATTGTCAACGAAGCTCATAGTTTGTTTCGATTTTGGTTGAATTTTGATCGATAGTCTTTTGTTTGCAAGGGGAATATTGAATAAACAGCAAGCTTGATTACGCACTGCAGAAGCTTTTCCTGTTGAAAGTCGCTTGTCTTGAACTTCTCTTCAGCTTCACTTGTCTTGAAGAAATCACATGTGATGCTTGTGGAGTATTCAGTCCATTCTAAGCTTCCGTTTAGGGTTTATCGGATATTCATTTCTTCATTTCTTCATGTACTAGTTCTTAGCACGTTGCAGTTAACTTATCAGCGCAATTTCTGACTTGTTGCACACCTAAAGTCGTTAACTACCCGTTATCACCCGCGGCCATGTCCTTATCAGATTTCGAGTAATCTCAGGCATTTTCAGTTATCATAAACTGTGTTTTATAAAAATGAAATAAGCCAAAAGAGCGTTATTAAGGAAGTTACAACTATTAAAACAAACAAAAAATGAGGGTCCCCTCTAGGTTTGGCGGGATGCGGGATTTGGCTTTTTTTTCGCCGTGATATTTCGGATTTGAGCTGAAAACAGGGGCGGGAAGCGGGAATTACAAACACGAGTGGGAGCGGGATTTCGTGTTTTTATGGGGTTGGGATGTGAGATTCGCAAGGGGAACAGAGCGGGATACGGGATTTCAATTCTTAGGTGACCTGATAAATACCGCAAGCTGCCAGAAACCAGGGCAGAAAACGAACCTTTTGTACGTATAGCTGGGTCAGGTTTCAAGCAATGAATAGCAACGGCTCTGCACCCTGTCAGGTTCTGTCAAACGTATCCATTATCGCTTGACTACATTAGTATCATAAAACTGTATGAGGTCTTTGAGTCCTATTGTGATCATTTGTGTTGGCCTCTGATGACATCAATGACATCTGTCTATTTCCGACATTTTCGACGCTTACGTCTGTAATCTTGAGCCCCCGATCCTTTTCCAGTTTTTTTTTGGCCAGTTTCGACCTTTTACAGAGCGCTTTGCTTGTTTTGACCAGNAAAGAATAGATAGCGAGTAGCGTACGTAGCCAATTAGTCTGGGGGGTACTCTCAGAAACATTTGGTGGGGTGTGAGGCCCGCTTCCAAACCCCCTTACCCTATTTATGACCAAATCTGCGATTTTCCCCAGCCATATTTATGATCAGACCGAAAATTCGATACCTCACTTATAACTGGCGGCTGACACAGTTGTTTTGTTTATGGGCTTATCGATAATGATGAAAAAGTAGCTTCTTCCAAACAACATACCCAATTCAAGAGAGTACAGAAACCATACCCTATTTGAGACCAAAATGCCAAAATCGATACCCTATTTATGGATGACCAAAACGGCTGAAAAACCATACCCTTTGGGCCGCACATACCTATATAGCCCATATAAGGGAGTACCCCCGAGGGGTACACCGGATGGCGGTGATAGTGATTTACCGAACGAAGTATGTGACATTATAAATTGCATAGCCATATGTTTCGAGAAGGATGTGCGAGCGGGAGTGCCTTCATTCGCAAAGAAAAGTTCTGAGCCTAGATTTCAAGGAAAGTGAAAACGCTGAAAGCTTTGAAAGAAACTGCCAGGTGTGTTTACGGGTCATGTCTTGAATAAGGGAATGAACAATCTGTTTTTTTTTTCACTAATAGGTGCACGTGGACAAAAGAAGGCAAAACAGACACTATTTACAGAAAGAAACGTTATAATCATTTGTGCTTACTTATCTGCTACCCATTGAATCCTTTTGTGATCTTTTGTGCGATATCTACTTTTAAAAAGTTTCTGTGTTAATTATTAATTTAACAAATTAATAACTAACGCGAAACGTCTTTTAAAAGTGGGTGGGATCGGGATTTCCAGGGTAGAATGGGCGGGATGGTGGGATTAACAGGAAAAATTGGGCGGGAAAGCGGGAACTGAGAACCCTATTGTGGACCCTCAAAAATGAGTGCATACTTTGTTGTTAACTTGCGTGCTTTGGTAGCGTGAAAATTTCCCTTACGTTTGGACATATGCAGGGACAAAACGAATTCTTAATGGAGTCAATTCAACGTTTAGGAGCTCTCTGTCTTGTGTTCTTGTTTAAAGTTTGTCTTACTCGCATTGTAAGCATATCATTTTAAGAATAACCAACCAAGCTTTTCCCAACTTCCGTTGAGATCCAGGTTTCACGCATTCGAGAGATAAAAATAGAGTGCTTACTTTAAAATCCAGCACAACGTTGATATAGGGAGAGTTCAGTTTTGCTATGAGATAACTTACAGATTGTTCATGGGAATACGTACTAATTTATATTTTCATGTTGCAGAGTCGATCTATGTTGATTTATGCGATTTTTGTTGGCATACGGCACTGACATGTCAACTTCCGCACCGGTCTACACTCACATGCTCCCAAGAAAATTAAGGATCGTTTTTCTGCATGAGAATATTTGCTATCAAAGGAATAAAGAAACGTGAGTATGCACATTGTATGATTTTCTGGTATGAGACGTGAATAAACTTTTGGAATAACGCAAAAACGCAAATTTTCATGTTTAAAGTTAGAACAAATTTCGGAGAAAAGGCATAGTTCTCTCTGCTAACGTTTAAGCCATTGTTTAACATCTCTCGTCATATGTGGTATGCAATTATTCGGATTAGCCTTTACCCTCTATATATCGACTAAGGGTCTATCCCATGCAATATGCATGGCTTAAAACAATATCTTCATCAATATCTTCATTTTTCATAACACTAATACTAAATACAAATAAGGTATACTTAGGTTCTAGTTCGGAATAAGTAGTTTACCAGTGTTGATTTGTACTGAAAGATTATCCTGTATAAATATTCGTTTATTATTAATAATTACTACGCCAAATCCTTGATTTTGAGTCGAAAGGGCGTGGAGAGAGTGTCCAGAATTGAAACCCTGTCATCCGGACATGAACGTTATCCGTAAAGTGTATTTCCATTTCACAATTTCCGGACAGTCAGTTTGTATACGACGTCTACGTGATCCATGTTAATTCAGGTACTCTGCCACAACATGCCCTCCATTTCGTATGGTATGTATAAGTCACGTAATTGTTATATCAAATCTCTCTCGAAGTGCGCATCATGGAATTTCCCGTCGTACCAAATGCCCCTGTAACCATGTAAGTCGCCTCGAAATGTCCTTCAGGTTGCACCTCTTGTGAGTTGTCAGCTTATTTCTCCTAAGCCGTGTACGGCGACGTTACATGTTTCATGGGAAATAAGGTACGTCGTTTAAGCATCCTAAATTTTCTGCCGGGATTTCACGCCATGTGAATGTCACGACATGTCCTCCGAGGTACGTCATATAAGGTTCTCAAAATATCCCCTGAGTGTAAGGCTTTTTTTTTGTTGGGCTAGAAAAAGGAATTTGTTGTACATTGTGGAAACGCGCGATCGTGACCACAGACTTGTTGCCACATACAAAATTTTCCGTTCAGCGAAATACGTTTCGCAGAAGCACACTAAAATTATGAAATATGTCCAGAATTTGCAGAAAGCTGTAGAAACGAGCATGGTCTTTTTGTTCATATAGGAAGGAGTTCGTGATGGGCATTAAAAAAGCACTTGGCTCTTGGTTGGTTTTGAAATATCAAGCAGCCATTGAAAGCATTTTGCTGCTTAAAAAGGGATAAAACAGCATTCTCAATATACCTGGAATAAATAAAAAAAGTCATCATGCAGGTCTATGTAACACTTTGTAAGCTTCACATTACGACCACAAAATTGCTATGCCAGAACCAGGTGGATACGTCAATAGCCCAAGGGACAAAGTATGTCGTTTTCTTTTGTCGTATTAATTTTTAGATTCTTTAACCCATTATACTGATAGAAAGATTTGCTTCAAACTCCAGGCCGGCTATCAAGTTTTTATTAGCGAGAAAACGATTATCACAACAAAATCCTTATAAGGAAAGCAGAACAATGGAAGTACCAGTCTCGCGGGGTAAATTTTTCTTAGGACATAAAAATTTAACCTGGCTGAACTAAACAGTCGTCCTGTTTTGTTTGATGATGTCACCCATTGTAGGTAACTCGACATCCAGGTTTAAGCATCAATGAAGGTTGTCAATGCGTTTTGGGGTGCGTGTCCACTGGAAAAACCCAAGAATATCCTACTGAGTCAATGGAAGAATGTCCAAGCTATACCAAGGCGTCCCAAGAAAGGCTCTGTGGCAACAATGATGAAGAAGGAGATGAGAATTCAAAACATCGTTTCGATTGTAAAATTAACCGAAACCGACTGGTGTCCAAACTATTTTACCTGTTCTACTTCTCGGCTTTTGGATCGCTGTGGCCCTATCTATCATTGTACTTTAAACAGTTGTTTTTATCACCAAGACAGCTGGGCATCCTTGTGGCTGTTCGATCTCTTGTACAATTTGTTTTCACACCTGTTTGGGGAGCTCTGGCGGATCGCTTCAATAAAAGTAAATTTGTTTTATTATTAGGATTGTCAGCTTGGCTATTGTCAACATTTTCTCTGGCTATAATACCGATAGGAGAAAGACCGAAAGCCTGCTATGAGATGAACTCTTTGTCTTTGTCATTGTTCCAAAATGCCTCTACGGGTAACACTAACTTCACAAGCTTAACACCACGATCGCATCGACTTAAGAATTCCGTCGATCATCACCACACTTCAACGCGATCCTACGAGTCTATTTTTGGATCCAGTAGATTTCTTCCATGGGCCTTAAGCTTTTTCTCGAGTGGATATGAGCCTGAGAAATCGACAAAACTCAAAGAAGATACGTTTCCAGACCTAAAATACTATCCCTCCCCTGAGAAAATCTCCGATTCTTCTCGGCTGTTCATTTTTATGGTTTGCGTTATAGTATTTGGACAGATTTTTGCGTCACCAACACAATGCTTGGCGGATACAGCCACGCTGCAGATTCTTGCGGAGGACAGCCATGAATATGGAAAGCAAGCTTTTTGGGGATCAGTCGGTTATGGAATGACCGCATTTATCGTTGGCACGTCTATAAGTGGACCGAAAACCCTTAATCCTTGTAGCCAGGAAATGGACATCAACTATATTCCTTGCTTCTATGTGTTTGCTTTCTTCATGGTGGCTGCATTGATTGTAGCAAGTCGGTTTAACTTTAAACCTGTCGATCACTCACAATGTAAAGAAACTGCAATAGGTGGACTAAAAGTGCTTAAAAACTTCGACTATGCCTTTTTTCTATTCATTGTATTTTTTTGTGGCACAGCTTTTGGTTTTATACAAACATTTCTCTTCTGGCATCTTCGTGAATTAGGCGGGCAACAGATGTTGTTTGGGTTGATAATTCTGGCAAACAGCACAGCAGAAGTGGTAGTGTATCTTTTATCAGAGCGTCTTCTTCGGAACATCGGGCACTTCAGGGTGATGTACTTGGGACTTCTGTGCTACGCTCTGCGATTCTTTTACTACTCATATTGTAGCAGACCTTGGCTTTTTTTACCTATAGAACTTATTCAAGGAATAACAACAGCCGCTGTTTGGTCTTCGTTTGTGTCCCATGTTGGTGCAGAGCCCGGTGTGGCAACGACACTCCAAGGGCTCGTTAACGGCTTTTACACTGGTTTAGGTTACGCCAGCGGCGGTCTTCTGGGAGGAGTTATGGTTCACGAATTTGGTACCAGGACAGCTTTTCTCGTTTTTGGAGAGTTAAGTTTGATAGTTCTTTTTGTTTTTATTATAGTAAATAATGTTCGCCAAACAGAAAAGAAAAATGAAATTCATTTCAAAACTTTTAGCCAAGCAGATGAGTTTGAACAATAGATTAGCAATGTTATGCATGGGAGAAACAGATACAATAAATTTCTAATTGCCAAAAACAGGTTGTTAAATTGTTTTCGCACAAAATCATTGTTCTCGATCAATGATTCAAATAAATCTTACGCCTTAAAAAGTAGATAGAAAAAAGTTATTTTCCTTTTGAGTTTTTCTAATATACTGGGAAAAAGTCAATTACTTGAAGTGATGTATCATTTGTATCGTTATCCCTCGTTTTCCTAGTAGTTTACGAGAGATGAAATTAACAAAAATAAACACGATTTTTATATGAGGAACTCTATGGACTTTTTAAGGAAAAATCACTCCATTTAGCATATAACGACATATAAAAATATATCAGCGACCCATTACATGAGAGGAATTTCAGCGAATATTATATTGAACAATTAACAAAATCTTGAGAAGTGAAAACTGCGTATGAATGAAAACAATTGTTATATTAACGTTTAATTCGTCAATTTCTCATTGTTTCTTTTTTTAGCTCTTATTAAAAAGAGAGAGAGAAAAAAGGCATGATACGAATTAAAATGTCAAAAATGTTTCCCATACAGGACCGTCAAAGGTATTAAGACTTTAAAGAATAGTGAAACAATGGCTTACATTTAATTATTCATCAGAATCTCTTAAAAATAGTTAGACTATATATAAACTACACTGTTAACAAAACGACGTCATTCTCAGTTTTATTTCATGCTTTATAAGAACTTCGTTCATTGAGAGTCAGTTGCTGAGTAACCACCTGCAAGGAACTGGTTATTCTAATTGGCTGGCCCTCGTTTGTACGAGGCCAATATTTGTGTCGCTACATGCAGTGACGTCATACTCCATATAGAGTAAGTTATCGAGGCTCGACTAGGATAACTCGGCTACGTTATCTACATGTTTTGACTTCAATGCATAAAGACAGGAAGGATGCCTGGAAGGAATCCCTCGGTGTCCTGGGTAAAAGGGGAAATGGAATATTTTTTAGTAATAGTCCAGGGTTACCCTCTTTAAAGTCGTTATTTATGGAGGTTATATTAGTAGAAAATATTATCTCTGGTCATTCTTCTGTAAGTTCAGGTACTAATAATATGCAAGCAACAGTTTTTACGCTTTCATTGGCTGAGGGCGTGCACAAAACTGAAATTGAGTAGAGAAATGTGAAATTCATTGCAAAAAGGTGAAATTAAACTAACACATACGCAGCGTGTTACACAATAAGATCTCTGACTGACAAAATGGCGGACGAAAAGGACGCTAGATTCAAACTATACAACAACGTTTTAATGCAAAAGCTTGAAAACAAAGCAAAGTACGAAGCACAATAAGAAGACTAGTTATCTCGAGGTGTGGGAGGCAAGGAATAAAATTAAAAGTTGTAAGGATAAAGCACAACGCAATGCAGGGGTCGACATTTACGGCATTATAAACCTTCGTCGAAGAATAAGTGTTAAAAGACTTCAGTACTCTGCAGCGAAACGCGAAGGACCAACCAGACTGCCAAAGAACCGGTAACTTTTAACTGAATGTTTTCAGTCATGTGCTGAGAAATACCGTTGTGTTTATCCTCAAGCTCGGTATTNCGATAATGATGAAAAAGTAGCTTCTTCCAAACAACATACCCAATTCAAGAGAGTACAGAAACCATACCCTATTTGAGACCAAAATGCCAAAATCGATACCCTATTTATGGATGACCAAAACGGCTGAAAAACCATACCCTTTGGGCCGCACATACCTATATAGCCCATATAAGGGAGTACCCCCGAGGGGTACACCGGATGGCGGTGATAGTGATTTACCGAACGAAGTATGTGACATTATAAATTGCATAGCCATATGTTTCGAGAAGGATGTGCGAGCGGGAGTGCCTTCATTCGCAAAGAAAAGTTCTGAGCCTAGATTTCAAGGAAAGTGAAAACACTGAAAGCTTTGAAAGAAACTGCCAGGTGTGTTTACGGGTCATGTCTTGAATAAGGGAATGAACAATCTGTTTTTTTTTTCACTAATAGGTGCACGTGGACAAAAGAAGGCAAAACAGACACTATTTACAGAAAGAAACGTTATAATCATTTGTGCTTACTTATCTGCTACCCATTGAATCCTTTTGTGATCTTTTGTGCGATATCTACTTTTAAAAAGTTTCTGTGTTAATTATTAATTTAACAAATTAATAACTAACGCGAAACGTCTTTTAAAAGTGGGTGGGATCGGGATTTCCAGGGTAGAATGGGCGGGATGGTGGGATTAACAGGAAAAATTGGGCGGGAAAGCGGGAACTGAGAACCCTATTGTGGACCCTCAAAAATGAGTGCATACTTTGTTGTTAACTTGCGTGCTTTGGTAGCGTGAAAATTTCCCTTACGTTTGGACATATGCAGGGACAAAACGAATTCTTAATGGAGTCAATTCAACGTTTAGGAGCTCTCTGTCTTGTGTTCTTGTTTAAAGTTTGTCTTACTCGCATTGTAAGCATATCATTTTAAGAATAACCAACCAAGCTTTTCCCAACTTCCGTTGAGATCCAGGTTTCACGCATTCGAGAGATAAAAATAGAGTGCTTACTTTAAAATCCAGCACAACGTTGATATAGGGAGAGTTCAGTTTTGCTATGAGATAACTTACAGATTGTTCATGGGAATACGTACTAATTTATATTTTCATGTTGCAGAGTCGATCTATGTTGATTTATGCGATTTTTGTTGGCATACGGCACTGACATGTCAACTTCCGCACCGGTCTACACTCACATGCTCCCAAGAAAATTAAGGATCGTTTTTCTGCATGAGAATATTTGCTATCAAAGGAATAAAGAAACGTGAGTATGCACATTGTATGATTTTCTGGTATGAGACGTGAATAAACTTTTGGAATAACGCAAAAACGTAAATTTTCATGTTTAAAGTTAGAACAAATTTCGGAGAAAAGGCATAGTTCTCTCTGCTAACGTTTAAACCATTGTTTAACATCTCTCGTCATATGTGGTATGCAATTATTCGGATTAGCCTTTACCCTCTATATATCGACTAAGGGTCTATCCCATGCAATATGCATGGCTTAAAACAATATCTTCATCAATATCTTCATTTTTCATAACACTAATACTAAATACAAATAAGGTATACTTAGGTTCTAGTTCGGAATAAGTAGTTTACCAGTGTTGATTTGTACTGAAAGATTATCCTGTATAAATATTCGTTTATTATTAATAATTACTACGCCAAATCCTTGATTTTGAGTCGAAAGGGCCTGGAGAGAGTGTCCAGAATTGAAACCCTGTCATCCGGACATGAACGTTATCCGTAAAGTGTATTTCCATTTCACAATTTCCGGACAGTCAGTTTGTATACGACGTCTACGTGATCCATGTTAATTCAGGTACTCTGCCACAACATGCCCTCCATTTCGTATGGTATGTATAAGTCACGTAATTGTTATATCAAATCTCTCTCGAAGTGCGCATCATGGAATTTCCCGTCGTACCAAATGCCCCTGTAACCATGTAAGTCGCCTCGAAATGTCCTTCAGGTTGCACCTCTTGTGAGTTGTCAGCTTATTTCTCCTAAGCCGTGTACGGCGACGTTACATGTTTCATGGGAAATAAGGTACGTCGTTTAAGCATCCTAAATTTTCTGCCGGGATTTCACGCCATGTGAATGTCACGACATGTCCTCCGAGGTACGTCATATAAGGTTCTCAAAATATCCCCTGAGTGTAAGGCTTTTTTTTGTTGGGCTAGAAAAAGGAATTTGTTGTACATCGTGGAAACGCGCGATCGTGACCACAGACTTGTTGCCACATACAAAATTTTCCGTTCAGCGAAATACGTTTCGCAGAAGCACACTAAAATTATGAAATATGTCCAGAATTTGCTGAAAGCTGTAGAAACGAGCATGGTCTTTTTGTTCATATTGGAAGGAGTTCGTGATGGGCATTAAAAAAGCACTTGGCTCTTGGTTGGTTTTGAAATATCAAGCAGCCATTGAAAGCATTTTGCTGCTTAAAAAGGGATAAAACAGCATTCTCAATATACCTGGAATAAATAAAAAAAGTCATCATGCAGGTCTATGTAACACTTTGTAAGCTTCACATTACGACCACAAAATTGCTATGCCAGAACCAGGTGGATACGTCAATAGCCCAAGGGACAAAGTATGTCGTTTTCTTTTGTCGTATTAATTTTTAGATTCTTTAACCCATTATACTGATAGAAAGATTTGCTTCAAACTCCAGGCCGGCTATCAAGTTTTTATTAGCGAGAAAACGATTATCACAACAAAATCCTTATAAGGAGAGCAGAACAATGGAAGTACCAGTTTCGCGGGGTAAATTTTTCTTAGGACATAAAAATTTAACCTGGCTGAACTAAACAGTCGTCCTGTTTTGCTTGATGATGTCACCCATTGTAGGTAACTCGACATCCAGGTTTAAGCATCAATGAAGGTTGTCAATGCGTTTTGGGGTGCGTGTCCACTGGAAAAACCCAAGAATATCCTACTGAGTCAATGGAAGAATGTCCAAGCTATACCAAGGCGTCCCAAGAAAGGCTCTGTGGCAACAATGATGAAGAAGGAGATGAGAATTCAAAACATCGTTTCGATTGTAAAATTAACCGAAACCGACTGGTGTCCAAACTATTTTACCTGTTCTACTTCTCGGCTTTTGGATCGCTGTGGCCCTATCTATCATTGTACTTTAAACAGTTGTTTTTATCACCAAGACAGCTGGGCATCCTTGTGGCTGTTCGATCTCTTGTACAATTTGTTTTCACACCTGTTTGGGGAGCTCTGGCGGATCGCTTCAATAAAAGTAAATTTGTTTTATTATTAGGATTGTCAGCTTGGCTATTGTCAACATTTTCTCTGGCTATAATACCGATAGGAGAAAGACCGAAAGCCTGCTATGAGATGAACTCTTTGTCTTTGTCATTGTTCCAAAATGCCTCTACGGGTAACACTAACTTCACAAGCTTAACACCACGATCGCATCGACTTAAGAATTCCGTCGATCATCACCACACTTCAACGCGATCCTACGAGTCTATTTTTGGATCCAGTAGATTTCTTCCATGGGCCTTAAGCTTTTTCTCGAGTGGATATGAGCCTGAGAAATCGACAAAACTCAAAGAAGATACGTTTCCAGACCTAAAATACTATCCCTCCCCTGAGAAAATCTCCGATTCTTCTCGGCTGTTCATTTTTATGGTTTGCGTTATAGTATTTGGACAGATTTTTGCGTCACCAACACAATGCTTGGCGGATACAGCCACGCTGCAGATTCTTGCGGAGGACAGCCATGAATATGGAAAGCAAGCTTTTTGGGGATCAGTCGGTTATGGAATGACCGCATTTATCGTTGGCACGTCTATAAGTGGACCGAAAACCCTTAATCCTTGTAGCCAGGAAATGGACATCAACTATATTCCTTGCTTCTATGTGTTTGCTTTCTTCATGGTGGCTGCATTGATTGTAGCAAGTCGGTTTAACTTTAAACCTGTCGATCACTCACAATGTAAAGAAACTGCAATAGGTGGACTAAAAGTGCTTAAAAACTTCGACTATGCCTTTTTTCTATTCATTGTATTTTTTTGTGGCACAGCTTTTGGTTTTATACAAACATTTCTCTTCTGGCATCTTCGTGAATTAGGCGGGCAACAGATGTTGTTTGGGTTGATAATTCTGGCAAACAGCACAGCAGAAGTGGTAGTGTATCTTTTATCAGAGCGTCTTCTTCGGAACATCGGGCACTTCAGGGTGATGTACTTGGGACTTCTGTGCTACGCTCTGCGATTCTTTTACTACTCATATTGTAGCAGACCTTGGCTTTTTTTACCTATAGAACTTATTCAAGGAATAACAACAGCCGCTGTTTGGTCTTCGTTTGTGTCCCATGTTGGTGCAGAGCCCGGTGTGGCAACGACACTCCAAGGGCTCGTTAACGGCTTTTACACTGGTTTAGGTTACGCCAGCGGCGGTCTTCTGGGAGGAGTTATGGTTCACGAATTTGGTACCAGGACAGCTTTTCTCGTTTTTGGAGAGTTAAGTTTGATAGTTCTTTTTGTTTTTATTATAGTAAATAATGTTCGCCAAACAGAAAAGAAAAATGAAATTCATTTCAAAACTTTTAGCCAAGCAGATGAGTTTGAACAATAGATTAGCAATGTTATGCATGGGAGAAACAGATACAATAAATTTCTAATTGCCAAAAACAGGTTGTTAAATTGTTTTCGCACAAAATCATTGTTCTCGATCAATGATTCAAATAAATCTTACGCCTTAAAAAGTAGATAGAAAAAAGTTATTTTCCTTTTGAGTTTTTCTAATATACTGGGAAAAAGTCAATTACTTGAAGTGATGTATCATTTGTATCGTTATCCCTCGTTTTCCTAGTAGTTTACGAGAGATGAAATTAACAAAAATAAACACGATTTTTATATGAGGAACTCTATGGACTTTTTAAGGAAAAATCACTCCATTTAGCATATAACGACATATAAAAATATATCAGCGACCCATTACATGAGAGGAATTTCAGCGAATATTATATTGAACAATTAACAAAATCTTGAGAAGTGAAAACTGCGTATGAATGAAAACAATTGTTATATTAACGTTTAATTCGTCAATTTCTCATTGTTTCTTTTTTTAGCTCTTATTAAAAAGAGAGAGAGAAAAAAGGCATGATACGAATTAAAATGTCAAAAATGTTTCCCATACAGGACCGTCAAAGGTATTAAGACTTTAAAGAATAGTGAAACAATGGCTTACATTTAATTATTCATCAGAATCTCTTAAAAATAGTTAGACTATATATAAACTACACTGTTAACAAAACGATGTCATTCTCAGTTTTATTTCATGCATTATAAGAACTTCGTTCATTGAGAGTCAGTTGCTGAGTAACCACCTGCAAGGAACTGGTTATTCTAATTGGCTGGCCCTCGTTTGTACGAGGCCAATATTTGTGTCGCTACATGCAGTGACGTCATACTCCATATAGAGTAAGTTATCGAGGCTCGACTAGGATAACTCGGCTACGTTATCTACATGTTTTGACTTCAATGCATAAAGACAGGAAGGATGCCTGGAAGGAATCCCTCGGTGTCCTGGGTAAAAGGGGAAATGGAATATTTTTTAGTAATAGTCCAGGGTTACCCTCTTTAAAGTCGTTATTTATGGAGGTTATATTAGTAGAAAATATTATCTCTGGTCATTCTTCTGTAAGTTCAGGTACTAATAATATGCAAGCAACAGTTTTTACGCTTTCATTGGCTGAGGGCGTGCACAAAACTGAAATTGAGTAGAGAAATGTGAAATTCATTGCAAAAAGGTGAAATTAAACTAACACATACGCTGCGTGTTACACAATAAGATCTCTGACTGACAAAATGGCGGACGAAAAGGACGCTAGATTCAAACTATACAACAACGTTTTAATGCAAAAGCTTGAAAACAAAGCAAAGTACGAAGCACAATAAGAAGACTAGTAATCTCGAGGTGTGGGAGGCAAGGAATAAAATTAAAAGTTGTAAGGATAAAGCACAATGCAATGCAGGGGTCGACATTTACGGCATTATAAACCTTCGTCGAAGAATAAGTGTTAAAAGACTTCAGTACTCTGCAGCGAAACGCGAAGGACCAACCAGACTGCCAAAGAACCGGTAACTTTTAACTGAATGTTTTCAGTCATGTGCTGAGAAATACCGTTGTGTTTATCCTCAAGCTCGGTATTCCCAGTCAACATTTTGGTTTAAGCATTGTGAGTTGAACGTTGAAGAGTTTATAAGGCACGGATTTTGACGAGCCCATAAAAACAGTTAAGGTTACAGTATACCTTCAGGGGTGTCTCGCGCGCAGGCGATGTAGCGCGTGCAGTTTAAGCTGTAAGTTAAAGTCCTGCGAAATTACTCCAGTGTTTGGTCATGGCCTGTAAATATGGCTTCTTGTGGCTGCCATTTCATTCAACGACCGCTCTAGGTTTATTTTCTTGGTATCAGTGGTTTTACATCTGTTAAGGTGACACAGTCGCACCTTAAGACTTCTTCCACCGCAGTTTTTCCCTTCATGTGAAGAAGGAGGACTGGTGCAAGACCGCTTAGAATAGGTGAATCCCCCACCACACGTGGTAGTACATGGGGACCACTTGGACCATTCTGACCATCCTCCGTCCACAGAGGTGTCTGTTGAAAAATCAGACAAACCAACAAACAGACGGTCATCTTTCTTTATAGAAACTGTTACGAGAAAAGATTGTTTGTGCATGTCAGTATATGACGTCAATGCCAAATATTTCTTCCAGAATATATTTTTATCTTTTAATTGCAGCTGTGGATTGGGGATTTGGTAAATTTGTTTAGAAGATTTCTGAGGTGTCTAGGAGCAAATATGTGTTTAGAGTTTCGATGCTCAACAATGCTTTCCAGTATTTTTTGTTGTCGCAATAAGTATCAATAAACCATATCTTCTGATGATTCCGATCCACGCCCTGATACATAACGTAAGTAACTGAATCCCACAATATGATATGAAGGTTAAAGGGTTCCTCTCACCAAAGTTTGCGTCTGTTATTTGCTGTTCACTTAAATATTGTTTGCTGTTCACTTTAATATTGTTCGAACCTGGTTAGGTAAAGTTACATTATCAAGGCTGCGTTTTCACTAGGCCGATTAACTAGCTGAACATTCTTTCTAGGTGTTTGTTTCAGTACAGGCCAACATTTACTAGTTAAACGTGACATCTGCTTTCACTGGAAATTTAACTCAGAAGATTCAAATTACGAAAGCGCGCAACTTTCAAAAATGGCTGAGAGAGGAAGCGCTTTTCTAGCTATATTTATGCGAGGGAGAAGCCATTTCTTCCAGACAATGCGGTTAATGTCCCCAGAAATGAGGAAGATGCGACGAAATGTTGTAATGCAGGAACTCGTTCTGCAAGGCGACGCCGTGTCATAGGTAGGGTCCTGGCCGAGGACCTGGAGAAGCTAATGGGACCGTTGGAATGGTAAAGCGAAATAAATGAGAAGGACTGTTGAAATCGTCTACTGTTTTAAAAGTTCAGTTTCACACACTGAACAGCGATATGAGCGTCTGGTAAATACTATTGCCAGATTCTTTGGCAGGCGTCTGTCACTATGCAGAATGTGATTGGCTGCGGCACTCGCCAGGAC